TATTCTTCAATATTTCATTCAAATTGTGTTTTAAAAAAAATACTACTCTCTTCAAATTATATGTAACCTATACTTTGAAACTTCTTTCATATAAAAATTCTATGGCGTTTGAAAATAACTCGTAAAATTCAATTACTTACAAATAACATTAACAAAAAAATTTGCAAAAACATAACCATGAATATTTGTAACGTTACATTGGTAAACAGCAGTATCTAATTTTGTAACATTTTGTAGAATCATTCGATTTTTAATAACACGTCGACGTGGATTACGTGGTAGAGTTGGATCTTGTAATGGAATACCATTAATAAACCATTGAATATTATTTGGTGGTGGTTTAGATTCAGCGTCACAAATAAAATTGACTGTTTCACCTTCTGTTACATGAACATCATTTGGTTTTACTATCCAATATGGATCAGCTTCAATTCGAACATTAATACTAAATAAATCATTACCCAATTCTAAAATAAATAGAATATGAAGAAAACATAAATTAAATTTATTTTATACCATTATGTCCTCGACATTCATATAACCCAGCATCTTCAAACTCAAGATCACTAATAATCAATTCTTGTTTTTCCATATTAACAGTTGCACGTCTTTCAGGTATTGTACCATTAATTTTTCTCCAGATAACACCAGGTGTTGGTAAACCACCAAAAATACATTTTAATGTTAATTTATAACCTCTTAAAAAAACTTTATTTGCTTCAGATGTCCATAATTTCATTGGACGACGATTATTTGGATCCGATTTGATTACTTGTATTTGTGTTAATGCACCACGACGAATAACATTTAATTTACGTGAAAAGACATTGCAAATGAATTGTTTTTGTTCATCTTCATCTTTTACATTTAAAAAATAAAGATTCCCTGTAAAAAAAAAATTTAATAAAGAAAAGCGAAAAATTTTAAAATAAATTTAACAAACCATAATAATCTTGTTGAATTCGAGGATTTGATACAAGAAAACCAAATTGATCACCTGTATTTGTATTATCTGTCCAATAAGTTTCAGGATCAGGTACACCAGTTGGTGGCTTACATGGGATTTTTAATGAATCACCACGTCGCACTTGAATCACTTGTGGTTTATCATAAATAGGAAAAGCACCAAGTTCAGCAAGACGTACACGAACTTTACGTGATACTGCAGTACCTTAAATACAAAATGTTCAAAAGAAAATTCAAATATTTTGATTGAATTTTTTCTTCTATTCTTCTTTACCCCACATATTTGTTGCATTACATTGATACCATCCTTGATCAATAGTTTGTGCTTGAGTAAAAATAAGTGTACCTGAATCACTACCCATAGCAACACGATTATTTTGTGCACTTGGTTCATAAAAACGGCCATCTTTGGTCCATGTATAAATTGGTGCTGGATTTCCTTTTCCGATACATGGAAGTTCAATATTAACACGTGGATCGAATATAACTTCAGGATCGGGTTCAGATATTATTGTCGGAGGCATTGGAACTAAAAACAAAAAAAAAATTTGAAAATAAAATTCAATAGAAAACATATTGAACTTACTTGAATGTACAAAAGAAAGTAAAAAAAGGGTATATACAAAATTTAATAAATTCATAAGTTCGGTTTTTTTTTTTCTTCTTGATCTTGAATTATTATATAGTAAATGTTTATAATAACATCTGAAGATAAATCCTAAAATAATTTTATTTTTTGTGAACTTTTGATAAATACTATTCAGTGAGTTCAGTATAGTGGGTAGAACGATAATGTCATGTCGTTTAGCATATGTGTTCTTTCTTCTTCTTCTTTTTTTTCTTACTCGCTGTGTTTCGTTCTTTCCATCCTTTTTATAAAATGAGACGACCGCACGTTTGCGATTGGTGGCTTGCTTTGTCAAGGTAAAATTGTAGAGAAGGAAAAGAAACAAAAGTGTTCGTTTCTTTTTTCTGTGATTCAATCAATTTTTTCTACCTCCATCTTTTTTTTCTTAAAAAGACATGAAAATCATTTTAAGTAAAATCAAGACTTGATTGAGAATATCGCAGTGAAATGAAATATCTCTAAAATTCAGCATGTAAATACTTCTGTGTTCTAACAATTTGACTGTCTCAATGTTGAATACTACTTTTCTATGATTCGGAATAACAATAAGAAATTGATAATAATCAGACGCAAAACATATTTTCAAAAGCATTGATATCCAAGTAGAAGATGATTCATCTCAAAATATAATTCCATACAATTTTTTTTCTTTGATATTCGAACAGTCAATACCATGGAATAATAAATGTGAACAATAGGCTAAATGAGACAAAAATAAAGTCGAAAGAATGATCTGAAGATTATATCAATTGCAGTCATCCATTATAATTGACAAACGAAACTATTATTGAAAAAAAAGTTTCAATTTATAGTTTCATTGACTTTTGACCTTACTTGAACAGAGAATATCAAATATAGTTAACGATAATACAATGATTTATCTCTTAGTTTTTTTCTTATCGAGGAAAAAAAACAAACACTTAATACAATGATATTGTAACATATAACTTACAACTAGCAAGCCTATCACCACTTGAGCATAAAAAAAAATAATAAAAACGGGCGGAACATAATTTGTGCTTCATAAAAAAAAAAGAACAGATGAGTAACGCTGTCTGGCCACCGAAAATAAATGACATAACTATCGATTGGTTAGTAACTAATCTTAAACTATGCATAGATAAAATGATGTCGCTATGCTATGTTCATAAAATATTTTTTTGAATCAATACAATGAAAATATAATGATGATTCTACACAAACATAAAACTCTTTAGAATAATTTCCAATAACTATGAAATATATCACAGATTAATACTATAGAATGTTTATGTCTGCTTTGGATTTTTACATAAAGGATGTTACTTTGAATGATGAGCTGATCCTACTATCAACATGTCACACCCTCGAATTCATATCATTTACTCAAAGAATGTTTCTTTCTCGGAGATAATAAAAGAAAACAAATAAAAAAGATTTGTAGCGGCAAACTAGAAAATTAAATGATAAAGAATGATGAACTTATAGATTGACTTAAATCAATGACCTAGAGACAAGAAAACGAGACTAATATGAAGAGGAGTTAATTGATGATGATGATGAAGATGCGCTATTAGAGGTCATGAATTATTTTAGTTTTCTTTTTATTCTATTCAACATCACAAATATTATCAACAAAAAATATTCAAAAAGTTTTCGTCTTTATAATAAAAAACTTCATTTTTATTCGTTGGTTGAACAAATTTGAGTGTTCCTAGTTTTGCTTTTTTAATTATTTCATATTTCTTTGTGTTTTCTGTAACTTTTTTTGTCATTGTATTTTAAATAGAAATATCTGAACAACGACAATCAAAAATTGAGCCTAGTGACATAAACATTCATAAAAAATATTAAGCATAATGGTGATCATGTTTCAGCTAAGGAACAATAAGAAAACAAATTTATCTAGCGGTTGGATCGAAAGTTTTTCGACAAAAAATTTCCTTCATTTTTCGACCGGTTAGAAGAGTCAGTAGAAATTTTACAACATTGGCTAAGAAACAGAATTTCATGTTCTTTTCTAAATCTATGCTCAGAATTATTGTTGGACTCATAGGTTCGGCGTTTTGAACGAATCTTTGGAAGATTTGGTTTACATTCATGCAACAGGAAAATCGAGATTAATTATCTTTTTATCAAAGATATTAAGCAAGATGATATTAATCAAAAAGTATCTTGGTTAACAATAGTAAGAAATCAAGAATCAGGCCACAATGAAAGTAAAAATATTCATTACTAAATACCTTTTGATCATCCATGATCGCATGCAAATTACTACACAACGCAGCTTTCATGGAACAACTAGTGTTTCATCTTTGGATGAATATAATCACCTTCGTTCTTTTCTATGTGCTTTTCTCATTTCAATCCTCAAATATTCGATAGTGAATTATCAAGACTACTCGTTTAGTTGACTTACTTACTAATAATCATTTCTTAGGGTAATACTGATCTCTCAATGCTCAAATCTTTAAAGAAAAGCTTGGTTTCATTGAACTTCTATAGATATGAATAGTCAGTCATTGGACACATACTATAAAAATATTTTAGATTCAACATACCATTTTCATATGCTTCATTCAAGCTACGACATATGCTCCCTTATGAAATGAAGTCATCTTTATTATGAACATCTAGAGTCTGAATTCAGATATGTTACGATAACAAAATTCAAGCAGTTCGAACGTTTCAAATACTCTGATAAATAGTAAACATTGATCGATTCTCTAATATGAATACATTCTTCTCTTCTACTTATAACACAGTAATTAGCTATAAACAGGGATAACCAACAAGATGCTACAGGGAGAAAGACATATCGAAACTCTGATAATCATGATATCAATGATCATGTGTAGCCATGATGCTATAAAATTACGAACTTAAATCTTTTGTATTTGCAAATCAGCTCATAATCTTTTCAAAGTTCTATGGCTGATCTTCCGTGAAAAAAACAAACATTGTTGTCTTTTCTTTCTTATTAAGAGTATGATTTGTGTTTCTCGAAAGAAACGAGAGTGAACCAAACTCGACGGTCCTGGAGTATCGAGATGATTCGTGTCACAAATCTGAGTGAACACAGCTGATCCCGATCAATGTTCAAAAAATCCTTTCGAAAGAGCCCGAATCTCAATGAGACTGGCGCCGGCTGTCAAATCGACCAGAACAGATACTACCTACTGGAAATATAAGACGAAACGTTTTTGAATATTACTTTATTTATTTCTTGTGTACGCGTTCTACACGCACATGGTCATCGTTTTGAAAGGTAGTTGCAGAGTTTTTTCTTGTTTAAGAATTATTCTCTGCGGACGAGAATAAGATAACAATGCATTAATTCTTATCTTTTTCTTTCATAGTTACACAATAAAGGTGTTGACTGGTTTTTTCATGATATATTCTCTATTTACTTGCATTTAATAAAACTATGTTTTCTATCTCACTTGCGCTGGTTATTCGTTTTCTGACGATTGTCGCGATTGTTTCTACTACAACCGCTCATTCTCATGTTAATGTTAATGCATGGAATGATCGTTTGGCACTTGCTGATGATCAAGTGATTGATTTCGAGGTGATTGGAGGCATTGCTGAAAACAATTCCTTATCTGCTTGTTGGGCAAATACGTTTCTCCTCAATCATACTCTTGGATCTCTGAGAAGTGGCAACATTCTACTCATACCAGTAAATCGAACGTTTTGGCTGATGGGTGGTCTCTATGCTCGTGGTCTCTCCTATGTAACCATTCAGATTGATGGTATTCTTAAATTTTCTGACAATATATTCGAATGGCCACGGGATCCTCACACAAATCAAGTTCTTAACTGTTTCTATTTTGAACAATTGGATCATGTAACGTTCACCAGTTCGCAATCTTCACCTAACAAAGGAATCATTGATGGTTCGGGTCATTTGTGGTGGGGTGTGGTTCAGTATGTGATCATTCGTGGAAATCGTCCGCAATTATTATGGATCTATAACTCCACTAATCTTTTGATCGAAAATATACTATTAAAAAATCCTCCCAAATGGACATTTTATGGTCAGGATGTTGCCAACGTAGAAATTCGCTATACTGATATAGATACGCACCGGCATCCAGATATTCACTGGCACGATCTCTACGAATTAACTGCTTTTAATACAGATGGATTTGATGTTTCTGGTAAGAACATCTGGATTCATGATTGCAATATTTGGAATGATGATGATTGTATTGCGGTGAAACAACAAGACTCAAGTAGTATTCATTCCTCTTGTAGTGAAAACATGCTATTTGAACGTATAAACGCCTCAGGTGTGGGTTTGACAATCGGTTCTGTCGGTCCTTCTGGAGCCCATTCGTGTGTTCGTAATATTACCTTTCGCAATTGCACCATGTATAACACTTTTAAAGGAATTTATTTAAAATCACGTCCAGGAAACGAAGGACATACTGGTGAAATAAGTGATATTCTATATGAAAATATCCAAATTTATAATGCTTCTCAATGGGCGATTTGGATTGGACCACAACAAGCTGCATTCAAGGGAGCTTGTTCGCTTTTATGGCCGTTTATACCAGAAGCTTCCTGTCCTATTCCATCCGGTATTACTTGGAATAATATTATTTTGCGAAATATCACTCTCAATGATCCTCAACTAAGCCCTGGTGTAATAATTGGTAATTCATCCAATCCTATGCTGAATGTATTGTTCGATAATGTGCTCGTTAAGAATCCTGGCTCTTACCCATGGGGCAACAAATATTATGCATGCTATGGTGTACAGGGAACAGCCAAAGGCGACACACAACCACCACCTCCATGCTTCAAACACGAACCATTTCAGGATAAAATCGATCTAGCATCTTTTGCTGTCGAAAACGACACGATAAATCAATGAGTAGATTAAACTCGAAAACACGAACGTATGAAAAATATTGTTGCAATTCTTTAAAGACTAAGTCATTGCAAGCAGTATGAATACGAGAGTATGGTAGTGGATTCTTTTGAGTTGATATGGATCCTATATTCACTACAAAAGTTTTGCACATATGAATTTTAATATACTGGTTGCTGTATTTGGTATTGATTATAATCAATCCAAAGTAGATATTAGTTGAAATATAAGCATGTTCCAAATAATGTGTGCTGCTTTAAAAGCGAATCAGTTGTTGTGATCGTTTCATCATTAACGAAAGACCCTAGTTATACATAAATGACCATTAGAAAATATTGTTTGGAATTTTTCTTGCCATAATTTTACAGGCATTTAGCAGTGTTTGGTTTGCCAAAAATAGCTCTATCTTAACGTGAAATAATGAAGAATATAGGCATTCAAGGCCATAAATAAAGTTTCTCATAATAAGGATTTGAGTAGTACTTTGACCTAACGCTTACATAAAAGAATTATGTAAATAAAGCGGTCTACACCTCACACACTCATCCATCGTTTGAAAAATTCATGACGACATGTTTGGAACTCATTTTTATCGCCATCCATGTGAGTGATGATGTGGATATGATTAATCATCTGCCTGCAACCACCCATTCTTCAACATTCACACCCTTGTTTCCACAAAGGATATAAATCGATTTGAAATGATGCACATCATGCATAGACCGAAACAATGTTTTACTGAAAGTATTTGATTAAAGAAGAAAAATTTTCTAATCTCTAGTATCTATGAGAAAGCCAACACAGAAAACATGTTAATTAAATATCCAAATTCAATAATGAGTAGAATAACGTAATTAAGAGATCGCTTCATTCATATTGCTCGCATTCGAATTGATACAAACATCGAAAAAGTTTTTGACGATACATGTCTGTCTTCAAAACAACTGAGAAGTATTTATATGATCAGTTATCTGCGTCGTCGACGAGAAAAACATAATGATTTTGTAGTTGTGTTATTTCTTTCTCAAAGCAATATGTTGTGAATGAAAAATACAATAGAGTGCAGATAATTGCGCCAAAGTGAGTTAATGCTTGCCTCACAAGATCAGTATAAAGTGATAAATTAAATAAATAAGAATAATACAATGAAATTAGTGTAGTTTTGAATCAAATTTGATTTTGATTCATTTTTATTTAATAGTATTATGCACTTTACTTTTTGAGCACTTAGATTATCATTCTCAAGTAATAATACGGAACTAGACTGAATTCAAACAATACAATGACTATTCAAAGCACTACGTACAATTTAAAATAACAAAATCACTGTTAATATATGTGAATACATTTGTTGAGTGCAACTTAGGCTATGGTCGTGGTTGGACATGTCACTATTACTTTCAGGTTTGAAAGATATATGTGGCGATTTCTGATAGAAGGAATGTTAGTGTTGATGAAGTTACACTTTATTCTATGTCTTCATATTATACAATCGTATTGCTAACATACAAAGCATATGCTTATATACGCAAGTAGAAGAAGAGAGAGCGAAATATAGAAGAACAATCGAGTAAGGACAGCAGCGTAAGAATAGAACGATGCGGACAATATATATGATATACGAGTGAATGATAGGGGCAGATTGAATATCATGTATGAAATCCTATCAATCGAGAGCGTTTCAGGAAGAAAACAGTGCGGACGTAATCCAAACTGCTTAGATGACACCAGTTGGTTACTTTCTACCTAATGTCTTATTCTTTTCAGTATTACTGTTTTTTAAAAAGTTTAGAATATGTAGCAAGAAAAGATATGAGCCTTGTTAGATTACATCCTGGAAAATCTGCTTTCAATTTATTTAGTGTTACTATTTCTGCTAGTTTCTACTGTTTCGGACATCGATGCTCTTTGAGTCACACAATTAAAAAATTTGTCAAGCAAGTAATATAGCTTGGTGGTAACAGTTTAATTATGTGATTCGAAATGAGATCAAAATCTGAGAATTTTTGTAAGCTTAACTAAGCTTTTTTATATATTTTGTGATTTCAAAGTTGTTTGTTCTCTCTCTATCTTTTTTATCAGAGACTGCTAATTTATTTAAAATGGAGCTGAATTCTTTCTTAATTTTTATATCACTGGAGTCTCTTCAGTTTTTAGCCACTGTGAATTGTTCCTCATGATAGCGATAAAGCTCCTCAACTTTTTCGTTTTTTCCTAATATGGATTCTTTGCCACTGGCATGTTTCGAAAATAGTAGACTCTTGAATTTATAGACGAAAGATAGATGAGACCGAAAGACTTTTCCCGATCTATCCTATCTTTCTTGCGTTGTGGACAAAAAGGATTGCCATCTACTCGATTTTTATTTCGCGTGTCACTGCTCGCAATAGAACACGAGTATCTTCATGCTAATAGCCATTCTTCCTTTCTCCGTCATAAATATTTCTTACGCGCCTCGCTTCTTTCTGCTTATCTATTACATTCGACGGTACTGATGGTCGGTATTTTTCTTTGGCTACTATTTAAGCGGTCAGTAAAATAAATTAAATGATCAGTAAAATAGATGAAATGGTCAGTAAGATAAATGGTCAGTAAAAGGTATATAAATGATCAGTAAAAAGATTGAATGGTCAGTACTTAGACTATCACTCATATAAAAAAAAAGATTGGAAAAAATCTAATTTTAATCGATTTTTTAAATCAAACCAGTGATTAAAATAAATTAAATTTATAAATATTAATTTTAATGGCGGCGACGGTAAAACGCGTTTTCTCAAACTTTATGTTGAAAACTCAGATGTTCGATCGCTTTTTCGGACTCCTTGCCTCGGAAAATTAGTAGATATGATGCTAGATCGACCTTTGACATAAATTTCATGCTTCAAGACTCGATATCAATTGGAACTTATTCATTTAAAAAGAAAAACTATTAGAATTGATTAAAATCGATTTAAAAATTTTAATCGATTTTAATAGATTAAAAATCGAATAATCTGACTAAAATTGAGTAAAATAGTCAATGAAAAAATTTTAATCGGTTAAAATGGATATTTATAAATTTAATTTATTTTAATCACTAGTTTGATTAAAAACCTGGTTAAAACTGTCCCATTTTAATCGATTTTTAATCACAAAAAAATCGATTAAAATCAGATTTTTTCCAATCTTTTTTTTTATATGAGTGATAGTCTAAGTACTGACCATTCAATCTTTTTACTGATCATTTATATACCTTTTACTGACCATTTATCTTACTGATCATTTCATATATTTTACTGACCATTTCATTTATTTTACTGACCGCTTAATAATATCCCTTTTTCTTTTCTCTTTCAAATGGTTACTTCATTTTATAGTGCTGCAAGAAATCGAATATACTGCTGATACCATTCATCTGCCTCCGTGAAATTCAGCTCTCTTATTTAGAAATTCTGAAGAAGAGCAAGCATACCTTCAAATAATTTTCAATGAACATTAGGGGAACAATTAATTGTCTGAAAGCCTACATTTTCATGTTCGAATATAATTGGCCAATGATCATTGCTCCCCAAAAAACAAAACTCGTGCACCTATTCCATTCATATTCGAGAAAGGAGGATAGACAAGATTGTTCATCTCTGCTCATTCTTCTGTTGATGCACTAAAATCCTTAGTGGTGATTGTTCTTTCTATAATGAAAGGAAATAAATCATCGAAGTTACGTTTTGGCCCTTTTGACCAATATATTCTTATGACACGTACAGGCTCAGAGACACCGACAACGTCAATAATGACAGTGCTTACAACTTTTATGTTTATTTGAAAGGTCTTTAAATGCTTTTCTATTGCTATGCAGACTCATAACTACTTCAATTTGTGCCATGCTGATGAAAAGTGTTGAAATTTCGCAGAGAAAAGGTATTTCATGATTCTTCAACTTGTCTATAAATACTAACTGATGCATCTATTTTATAAGCAAAATTTACTACTTCTGAAGAATGGATTCTTCAAACTTCAACACTACAGCATAGAAGGTTCAGTTGTATCTTTTGGGAGAGAGGAAAATGATTCGTACATGATTGTCATTTTGGTAAAACAGTGTTGAAAATGGCAAATATATTTACCTCTGAGGCCGTTTGCGCTTTTTATTCACATAATGGAAAAATAATCTCTTTCATAACATCCCTAAGAGATCCTGTTGTTTTTCAATTCGTATACTATTTCCTCTCATAATAGTTAACTGTTCAGTGAATTCAGTGAGAGCATTTGTAATAGCAACTGATTCAGCAGCTAATTGTTGACAAGGTATCTACTGTGTACCTTAAACAAGTCTGACGTGTTTTGTTTCAAGCATCATAGCTGTAAAATCTTCAAGATTTATCTTCGGTAGATGTTTAAGTGGTATAATTGACGCAGTAGCCCACGTGACAGGACAACATCCACTCCCTCCTTCAAATACGTACATCTCGAATGCTATGAACAAGTATGCGTTTTTGTTCTCAACAAAAAATCTTGAAGACATATACGATAGCAGATACATTAGGCTTAAACTTTATCTCTCAGATGTTCGATGCACCAACAGCGTATGTATTAGGTTAATCTGTTCGTTTGAAGGAAAGACTTGATCAGTAACATAACATTTGCAACGGATATACGATCCATGTCCAGAGTTCTGTCATAGTCTTGAAAGACTGTCACATGAAAGCGATAATTGTTTATCTTTCAAGTATATGCATATTGAGTTTGCTTCATGTTTTCTACTGATGTAGTTGATCTCGATATCTTTTTTCTTACAAACTCATGACCCATGCCTGGTGATACATATCGAATAACGAGTTCGAAGTGATTGAAAATGAACTTTGGCTTCTGAATAGTAATGGGTACATTCATGACTTGTGTAGGCCATTTTTTGGTAAACACTAGTTTAGTAAAATCACCCTTGTTGTCGACACTCAACTTTACTCCTATTCCAGCTTGTCCACAGCACTTTGTTGGTAAAAACACCTGTTTCACTTTCAGAAAAGTTGTTCCGAAAATTCTTACCTTACTAGATGAATGTTTTCAAAAAAAAACCAGCTGCAATAGAAGGATACATTTGGAGGAACAATATGAATTTTCATAATAGAAGGTCATTGGTTTTTTTTCTGCAGAGAGAAGATTCTAACAAACCTTTACTCTGTTGATCAACTAACTATATGAAGCGAATTGTCTCTTCAGAAGACAGAATAATATAATAATTCTAGCTTCACATTCAGCTTGTAGAACTGGCCATCTTCAGCTGAAAACAATGCATGTGATGAAGAGGAGTTCTAGTAGAATTATATTTGACAATTGTAAATAATTTTCTTTCAATATATGGTTCAGTTTTTGCTCCACGTTTTATATTTGTTAGCATATCGCAATAAAATAGATGGGATCGATTTCATCGTCATCTTAGTCAAAAGAAACTCCAATATGATCAATCACAAGTCATGAAATAGTATAGTAATATTCTGGTGATATGATATTCACCGCAAATAACAATCCTTAGAACCTTGCTGATTTTAGTCCTATTAATTAAATCGTTTCCGCTTAGATCGAAGCCATGAAGGAGTTCTGACTCTTCAGTTATTTATTTTTCAAACAGAACAAAATAATGTTGAAAAAGAATTTCGACAGCCACTGGGCCCCTAACGGTTGTTAAATTGACTCTGTTAGTCTTCGTGTAACATAAAAAAGCTGAAATGACCGAAATGCCAATGAATCTCGTTTAATGCAGATGAAAGAATAACAAGTAAAAACTTAACAAAGAGATATTTTTTTTGATTGGGTTGTTCATTCTAATTCATATTGAATTTATTTCATTATCTAAATATGGTATGCACTTGAAAACATACACAAATTGTGTTCATGAAATGTTTTTTTTTTGTAGAACGTATGTCTAAACTTAAAAAGGTATAGTTTAATACTGTTTGCGTAATAAATATGAGAATGTTTATCAAGAACTTGTTACCTTTTTTTAATATTAAAAGAACAAAAGATAGAAAAGAAGATAAAAATGATTATTATCTTATGATAGAGCAAAGTATGTTTCATTCTGTTAGATGTTTTACTTAAACATGCAACTAATGAGACTTTTTATTTTTAAAAATAATATTTTTCTTTGATGAAATACACCATCAATTAGATGTATTCATTTTGAAACCAATTAAGAAAGATGAGTTTCCATAAATCTACCGGGATGTACCAAGGAAAAATTAGATAACCTTTTACATTAAGAATTTTCGCGTGTTTTATGTTTTGAGTATTACAATAAAAAACGGATTGCAAAAAAAATTACGTCAGTAGACTCTACGATCTTCAAGTAAATCGTTATCTGTTTAATAACAATGAAACACACACAGAAATATTTTATTTTGAGGCATGCTGAGTTTTTTGTCTTGAATTTGAGCTATAGATATAGATGGACCATAGTATATGATATTTTTATTCAATAATGAAGTTCCAAACTATAGTGTCGTGAAGTAAAATTACAATCTATATTAAATTTGTATCTATTAGATTATTTCTCTTTCTTATGAAAAAACTTTTTACAATCTTCCATAAAATGTTTGTAGAACAAATAGCAAGTAAAATATAAAATTATTCTATGTCAGTCTTAAGTTGTTCAACAGTTTATTCGAAATATAGTAAACGAGGTTCTAGAAAATTTCAAGCACCAAAAAAATTCATTTTCTCATGTTGTTGTCTTAGTAAATATCAAAGAAAATTTTTCATATTTTTCCAAATGATTCTCTTGACAAAATTGAATTTGATGAACTTATTCTCAATTTTTTATTATAACAGAATATAAGTACATGTATGAGTCTAGATTACCATAAAAGTTGTATTAAACTATTAGTCGATTGTTTCAAGTTTCTGTGTATGATATTTTGGATAAAGTGAATCGTTTTCTTTTTGAATTAGCCTTACTATTGACCATTGACAATACCTTGAAATTATTATCATGAGACAATTTCCTTTCTTTAAAAAAAAGCAAATCGAAAGTAAGTGTTCTATTTCTCTATAAAAAATAAATAAATTAGTTTCTATAAAAGATAGTCGACGGTTCCAAGTCAACGATCAAGAAAATAATGCACTTAGACATTTTGCGGTAAGTGTAACTCTAGGATAATAATAAGATGAATTATTCTTTTTGATTTGTTAAGGGTAATGAAGTATCAACATCAAAATATAATTTAATCACATTTTTACCTAAAAATCTCTTTGAACAATTTCATCGATTAGCAAATGCTTATTTTTTATTTCTACTCTGTCTACAAGTACGTATGTATATTTCATTAGTTTCAATGTTTTAAAAGATTTTCTTTGACTATTTCAGTTGATTCCACAAATCAGTTCACTTCCAGCATATACTACTGTTATACCTCTTTGTTTCGTTTTAATATTAACAGCCGCCAAAGATGCCATTGATGATATTGTCGGTTATTTAATTTAGATTTTCTCTAAAATAGAATTATTTATTTCTTTATAGGGAAGACATCAAAGTGATAAAATTCTTAACAATAGAAAAACACAAATCATCGTTGATAATGAACTTGTTAATAGAAAATGGAGAGAAATCAAAGTTGGAGATATTATTCAATTGTCTAATGACGAATTTGTTGCGGTTTGTTATTCATTTCATAAAAATCATTCTATTTACATTTTTTCGATTAAAGGAAAATATTTTACAAAAAAAAAACATGCATTTGAGTATTTTTAAAGTTAAATAAAATTCTTTGAAAGAGACAAATAGATCTATGAGTCGATTAACTGCCGTTAATTGTTGCAAAATTGTTTTTAATGATATGTGAGAGTTATCAACACTAACATCTTAGTAGCTCGAAACTTCCAAAATAAATTTTCATTATTGAACATTTTTTAAATGCACTAAGATCTATGCGATACCTAAAATAGTTCTTTTTGCAGATATATTAGCAGAACGAATTTTTACTATGAAATCTTTTTAAGAATCCTCAAGAAGAAAAGTATGAATATTTTAAGGTTCTTTACGAATTCTTTTTTTTTGTCTGATGAGTATTAAAAAAAAAAGATTGTGCTCATTCGAATAGTCAAGAAAAGAACAATTTGAAGTGTTATACCTCTTGCCAAACTCACAACGATTCAGCATGACAATGTTGTTTTTAAGAGTGTAGCAGATCGGCTTCTATTACCGAAAAAAAGTTGTATCCATTGTTGCTGATTTATTCGTCAACTTACATCTCCAATTATCAATCAAATATATTTTAAAATTTATTAGAAAGATATTTGATGAAAAAAATAATAATAAAAAAATTGTATTTCAATATTTTCTTTTCTATAGGCAGATGTTGTAATTATATCAACGAGTGAACCGAATGGACTTTGTTATATTGAAACGGTTGAATTAGACGGGTAACTAATATTAAAGTTATTTTGATATTATTATTAAAAATTTTCAATTAGTGAAACTAATCTTAAAGTACGACAATCACTCGAAGAAACACAAGAGATTGGTGATGATATCGATGGATTATCTACGTTTGATGGTTTTTTTTTTGTTTATATGAAAAAAAAAAATTTTATTTACTAAATTTATTTTTATTTAGCCGAAATTGAATGCGAATTGCCTAATGATAATTTAAATCGATTTGAAGGAAATTTAAAATGGAAAAATAAAATTTATTCATTGAAAAATGATCATGTTATATTACGAGGTACTCGTTTAAGAAATACTCAATGGGTTTTTGGAGGTAAGTTTTATCATTTGTCAACAAATAAATAATATCTTACGTTATTAGTTGTATGTTACGCTGGATCTGATACTAAATTGATGAACAATACAAATAAAGCTTGTTTTAAACGATCACATATTGATCGTATACTTGATAAAATTATTATTGCAGTAAATTATATTTATTTTATTTTTCAATAATTTTTATTCTTTGAATAGATTTTAATTTTATTAATTATTCTCTGTACTGCAATGGCCATTGCTTGTACATTTTGGGAATTATCGTCTGGTTACTATTTTCGTGAATATCTTCCATGGGAATCATATTTATCGAATAAGAAAACTCATGCTGCTATTCAATTAGGTCTTCTTGTATTTTTTTCATATATTATTAATTTCAGCACAGTTGTGCCTCTTTCACTTTATGTTACTATCGAATTTGTTCGTTTTTTACAATCAAAATGGATTGATTGGGATATTAATATGTATTATGAACGGTACAATGTATGTGCACAAGTTCGTACAACAACACTTAATGAAGAATTAGGACAAATTGAATATATATTTTCTGATAAAACGGGAACACTTACACAGGTAAATTATTAATATAATTTGAAAATAATTGGATTATGTTTAAAACTTGAATTATTATTTAGTTAATTAGTTACTAAAACGAGAATAGAACGATAGAATTGTATGATTTTATATCATATTAGAAGAATAATTGAAAAGTTAAGTGATCATGGGCATGTCAAAATAATATCAACAATGATCAGTAATATTCAATGAGTAAATAACATATTTCAAGAATTCCAAAGACTAAAAAACTTCTCGAGACTTGAATTATAATTAAACTGTTGTTTTTTCTCTTGTTAAAAAAATATTCGAATCTGAAGTGTAATTGACCATTTACATGTTTTCAGCATTGTTCTTTCGACTGAAGGTTGAGTCATTTTGAAATAAAATATGTTTGCTAGCACGTGTGACATATACTTGTCAGAGTATAGAAGAGTTATACGAAATGGTTTTTTTTCATACAGTCAATTCATTCAGCCCATGGGTTGTTTTTGCTGCTTAGGTCTCGACCAATCAGATTCTTTTCATGCTAATGAATGATACTTTTCGTCGATGAAATTTTAGGAAATCTGATTTGTTGAACTTTGAGGTTAGTAGGTTTAGTTTGCTTAACGATATTGTCAGACAGAGAAATATATTTTGTTTTAAAACTCTTAAAATGTTGAGAAAAAAGTAGATGATAGCGAGTATTCGACTATTTTTTTAACGATAAACTGCAGTTTCATTCATAAGCATCATTATTACTCTTGATTCACTACGCTATTATAATTTAGCATCAAAGTAGGAGTAAAAAGATTATATACATACGTTAGAAATAATCATCAATTATTACTCCCTGATGAAGTGAAGTATAGAAAAGATAATTTTAAACATTCAAACAAGGATCAGCCAAGGCGAAACGACAAGCGTTATTAGTCCTTAGATGTTGAACAACATTTGAATAATTTCATAAATCCTTCACTACTTTTCAGGTTGGTTTAGTACTAAACATTAAATCTGAGTTTGAACTTCATGATGAGAGTTCTTTTTTAATAATTTAATATCAATTGAAATCATGAACTCTTGGAAAATTTCAATGAAAAATATTTTAAGAAGAATATTTGATATTTTAGAATATAATGACATTTAAAAAATGTTCAATTGGAGGAAAACTCTATGGTTATGTTATGGATGACAATGGAAATGAAATTCAAGATATAAAAGTAATATTAATAAATTGTTATTCTTTTTTGATTTTTATTACATTGTTAAGAAACTTGAACCGATTCAATTTGATGAACAAGATCAAGAATTTGTTTGGTATGATAAGACTCTATTAGATGCTATTAGAAATAATGATGAAAATGTTAATCATTTTTTTACATCATTATCATTATGTCATACGGTTATGTGTGAAGAAAAAAATGGAAAGATAATTTATCAAGCTCAATCACCTGATGAAAATGCACTTGTATCAGCATCACGTTCTTTTGGCTATGCTTTTCAAGTGAATATTTCCTATCTTTATTAATATATATTTTCAATATAATTTTTTTTGCTTCATTATTTAGAATCGTACTCAAAATAGTATTACAGTGCGTATTAAAGATAAAGAAGAAACATATCATCTTTTGAATATTCTTGATTTTAATAATGAAAGACAAAGAATGTCAGTAAGTACTCTTCAAGTAGATTTTATTCTATTTGTTATTTTTTGTTAATTTTTTTCTTAAATCATTCAAAGGTTATTGTTGAGAAAGATAATCAAATATTCCTTTATTGTAAAGGAAGTGATACAAAAATTAAAGAAAGATTAGCCAATTCTCAAACAAATATTATTAATCAGACAGATGAACATCTATATGTTAGTCATATCTTTAAAATAGTTACTTATATCATTGAAAAATTTTGTTTTCTTTAATTTGTTTTTCTTTAGAAATTTGCAAATGATAGTTTACGAACGCTATGTTTAGCATGGAAACAATTAGATAGATCAGAATATGATCCATGGGCAGCAAAATTCAGTGTTGTTAAGTGAGTTTTCATCTTATCAAAGATTTGACAATCATTTAAATATATCCAATGACTTGTTTGTTAATCAAATTTTCATTCAACCTTACAAAAAAAAAAACCTTAACTACTTTCAAGAAAAACATGCCTTGATTAGCGATTTTAACTCCTAATTCAATATCTTTTCGATTAGAATATCAGATGAGTTCGAAGACAAGAATACAATAATTGTATCCGAATATGGATACCATCGACCACTGATTCCAAACATCGGTATTTTGCTTCCAATTTCTTACTAGTTCTCAAAATTTTCCAATTGCACATAGTTGTATATCATTTACTAGGCTATTGAATTGAAAAATGTTTTGCAAACAACTTATGTAAATAGTCTCACCTATTTGTGTCTGTTGCCAGAGTAGCTCAACTTTGTTGAACTAACGAAGGAAGTTTCACAATTGATAAATTGCTTTCCACAAGAAACTATATAACGAAAACAGCTCAGACCTTTAGCTTATTGCTACCCGAGATACGCTACTTTTTGTAGATGGATGCCATGCTTTTCTCGGGAACATTAAAAAAACTGATTTTTAAGTTTTTCACTCGAAACTTTGCATGCAGAAAAGCCTTAATGGGAATGGTTTCTGGTGAACTTTTCAGATCTTGTTGTTCTTCCTATATTAAGATAAAACTATGGTCAAAGCATTTTGTTTTGTAAGTCTCTCATTTATAACGATAAATTCGATGTTCTTATTTCAGGATAGAAGCAAATAAAAAGACCTGAAACTTTCATAATAAAGTACTTTCATTAAGACTTGTCTATGTACAAATTTTCAACGAAAAATTCGAAAATTAGTTATCCTGGTGTTTCTGACAGAGAACACAGGATTCAATTAAAAAAATTAGCGTAAATTTGCAGTATCTACGCTGCAATAAGTTAAGGACTTAAACTCTTTTCAGGATATTCAATATTCATTTGAGTCTACATGATGCACATAGTTTCGACTCAAAAGCAATCAATTAATTGGAAAACTTCAATGATGAATATAAGACTCTGATCCGTCAAGATGGTTTCTTTTTATTCGATATCCTAATTGAATTATAATCGTACTAAACTACTGAGTTAACATTGTCAGCAGATGATTATTGACGCTCAAATTCAACGCGATCAGTTTATCTAAAAAAATATCAAGTAAAACATCAAACGATTGAAATGAATAGGCTGAAAACGTTTTAACATTTTCAACATTTTAAATGACGTTTCTTTGAATCAATTTTAAATATTGAATTTCGCTAGTTTATTACAACAGCATAATTTCATAGAAGATTGTTTGACACAAATAAACCTGATTTAACTTTTAAAAATTACACGAAATTCAATATTCTCTTGAAAATACACGTGACGGGTTTTCTTAGTATTGTCAGATAAATAGATGAGATTAAATATGAATGAAAATAAAGTTTTTGAAAGTATAGTACTACTATGGAACAACGCGATGAAAAAGTAGCAGAAATGTATGAACAGATTGAAACAAATTTAATATTGCTTGGTGCTACAGCAGTTGAAGATAAACTTCAAGATGGAGTGCCTCAATGTATTCAACGATTAGCTGAAGCTGGAATTAAAATATGGCTATTAACAGGAGATAAAATCGGTAAATCGATTTTTCTATTCTTTATTTATTTATTTTTTTCGTTCATTTGTTTCGGTGTCTTATTTAGAAACAGCCTATAATATAGGTCTTTCGAGTCGTTTAGTAACAAATGAAATGGAAATAAAAACTATTGAAGAAAACAGTGAAGAACTAGTTGCTGCTAAATTAGAAGAAATACGAAATTCAATGATTAACAAAATAGAACAATTCTTTGATGTTAATATTGATGATCGAAATAAACGTCTCGATTGGAAAACATGGGGAATCAATGTTCTCAAATTAGATCAATTTAGAAAAGCTTCGTATTATGAACATAATAATATTACAAGTATGAAATCTATTCTATTAAATATGGAACAGCCACCAAGTAATAATAATGAACAAGATCGAGAACCATTTCAAGGTTTTGCAATTGTAATCACTGGTCAAGCTTTAATTTATGCTCTGTCTGACAATTTAAAAATGAAATTTTTGGAATTAGGAACAATGTGTAAAGCAGTTATTTGTTGTCGAGTAACGCCGATACAAAAAGCACAAGTTGTCGAATTGATCATGCAACATGAAAAGAAAATAACATTAGCTATTGGTGATGGAGCTAATGATGTTTCTATGATACAAAGTAACAATTTTTTTACTTAAGAATATTATTTTATTTTTTTTTATGCATTTCTAGAAGCTCACATAGGTATAGGGATTTCCGGTCAAGAAGGTCAACAAGCTGCATTAGCAAGTGACTTTAGTTTTGGACAATTTCGTTATCTAGAACGACTCTTATTAATTCATGGACGTTTATCATATGTTCGAGTTGCGAAATTTTTGCGTTATTTCTTTTATAAAAACTTTGCATACACATTTTGTCATTTTTGGTTTGCTTTCTTTTCTGGATATTCCGCTCAAGTAAGTTCTTTGTGATGTTTTTGTAGCATGTTGATCGAAATATATAAATTAATTCTAAGAATTAAATGAATCTATTTCGAAAACATCTACAAATAAATTTATTTTTAATAATTTTTCTTTTATTTGTACTTAAATAGACAATTTATGATCCAATATTTGCTGCATTATACAATACTTTATTTTCAACGTTTCCTATTATGGTAATAAGTGTCTTTGATCGAGTAAGTAGTTATTGTCAATAATAATCAAATAAATAAACTTCATTACTGATGAACATTGATCTGAATTTTCGAAAGGCAATGAATATTTATTGTTATTATTTATTGTTTAGGATTTAGATGACTATTATTCATTGAAGAAACCATATCTGTAAGTTAGTTAAGATGTGATTCCATTAATTTTACTTTTTGTTTGTTTTCTTTTTTTTTTTTTTGATATTTACTTGGTCAAACAAATAAATTATTTAACAAAAAAATCTTATTTGAAAGTGTAGTACAGGGAATAATCACATCATTAATCATTTTTTTTGTGTCCTATTTATCTTTATCAAATGGTTCACTATTTGTTCGAATGACACAAATTGATCTTCAATCATTTGGATTTATTATTGGAACAATAATAACTGTGGTTGTTAATTTAGAAAATGCACTTGAAATTTGGTATTGGACTAAATTCTATCATGGAGCATTATGGATTACAATTATTGTATATTTTCTTTTCCATGTGGCAGCTTATTCAACAATTGTTTCAAAAATTTTTCGAATCAATTATAATTATGTGGGCGTTGCACAGGCTGTTTTATTGAGTGGGCGTTTTTGGCTTATACTTGTACTTAATTGTACAATACTTTTATTACCTGTTTATTGTCGAGAGTAAGTTTTATTTATTAAATTAAATTAATCTTTTTCTGTTTTTATATATAACAAAAAAGATTTTATCGAATGCGATTTCAACCAAATGAAATTGATAAAGCAAGAATCAATCAAAAATATCGTCATGAAGAAAAAGCAGAATTTCTAACTGATATTCGTCAAAAAGTTCATTTAAAAAAACATCTTGCTCGATCAAGTTATGCATTTGCACAAGAAAAAGGTTGGGGACCATTGATAACATCAGGTAGAATGCAAATTAGACCTAATCCATATTCACGAACTTCACATGATCTTGGTGTTAGTATTCTTTTCTATTTAATACAAATCATTTTAGTTTTATTTATTCCAATTATTCGTTTTTTTTTTCTTAATAGATGATACACACAGATCGGTCACATTTAGAAAATCTTCGAAATCTTGCAGAAACATTATAAAAATGCTGATAATAAATAGAAGTAACAAAATAAAATATTTAAAGATCAAGAGATTCATATATCAGAATATTCTTGTTCTTTGTCGATTTTTGCACTGTAATAAAACAATATCTTATTGGTTATTCGTTGCAATCTCATGTATTAAGATATGTAGGATCAAGTTTTTTTTTTCATCGTGGTCATTTTTTTTTGTTTGCTTCTCACGTCGATATAAAAAAAAACAATAGTTTGCAAAATTTAGCTCTCATGCAACCTAAAAAAACCAGTTAAATTGTCATTGTTTGTTTTTTTTCAATCAACGAAACCATTCGATTTTCCTCAAATATTATGAATCCTGCAATGTTTTCAAACAGACATAGTAAATATCAAATGTCTTTCAACACCCTGTAGAAGAGATGCAGGAACATTTTATCATAGGTTTAAAGCATTTAAAAGGATGAGACGTATAACAACTCTGTGCGAACACTATGAATACTGATCAATATTTGCACCAAAGAATGTTAGATCTAAAACAGTATCTGTGTTTCATAAGACAATCTCATTTTAAAAAAGCAAATGAAATGAGAAAACTGTCAAGAAAAATGAGTAGTTCGATGGTAGAAAGGCCAAAAAGTATTCAGAGTAAGGCCTGTTTTAGGACATTATTCGGAGGAGTTGTTTGAACGATAGCGTGGATACTTGAGTAAAAGAGACACAAAAAACTGATCTGCATTTTTGTTTATGTTCGCGAAAACTATCAGAAGAATCGCCGGTCGGAGTAACATTTTGATCACGTCATTCATCGTTATTAATAACCTAAAAAGTAGTTTAGATACAGTTGCCATCATACTCGAGTATGAATTGAATAATGCTTTTTTTCTCATACTACGCTATCATAAATGAAATTAGTCATGACTACGAGTATACAGGTAGCTAACGATGAGTATCGTCTCACTCTCTCTGTTATGATACATTCGTCATTCCCTTACAGCTGTGCTGCTGCTAGGGTCTCTAATAGCCAAATTTTTATACAAAAAATAAAAGCAAGAAATATCGAAAGAGATAGAAAAAAGTTGCGATGAATCACCTCAGGTATGTATATGAATCACAGATATATGTTTATTTCATTTTATGCTCATATTTACATATAATTAGAAACGTGTCAATGGAAGGACCACTCTGATGGGTGTATGTGAAGTTATAAACATTTATTTTCATCCAATGAAACGAAGCACTATAAGTGTACATTGAGAAATTTAAAATATCAGTCTTCCTCAATATGTCTCTCAATTATTATGAACATTATACTAGTAACCACTAGAGATCGATCAAAACATTTTATGTTATTTTCTTCATGTTCAGTATTGGATAAATTTCTTCAGCAAGGTTGAACAAATTGTTTTGTTGAAATCTGTTAAATGAAAAATTATACTTGTCTTTGATGCTTTTCCAATATGTGGCTACCATTTCTACCTCACAAAAACTTGCTTAACTTGCCTATTATCAATATGTAAAACAGCCGGAATGACATGTTTTTTTTATACAGAAACGTTGAATAAAATCAAGTTATTATCGAGAGGTTCCTTAAAAATGAACGCAGATTCTAAAATAACATTCTAAATTCTGTCGGATGATGCACAGTTTTTTGAAGAAACAATTAATGTGCTCATTCGTCAAGTTTTCATAAAATAAACCCACCTTACTCTGTACAATCTGTGTTCTTTTTTTATGAGGTTGGTCGACAGTAAATAAAATATGAGTCGTAGTTTGGATCAGAGACCGAATTGAACCGAGTTTTACTAGTTCGGATTCATTTTTGCAAGAACGATTCGAATTCGGTTCATTTCCAGTCGTTGATAAGCGTGGTATTTTCCTCTTAATTTATTCTACAATAAAATTCTATCTAATTTAAATTTAAATTTTTTACTATTTATTTCTGAATTTAATAAGTTTTTGTAAACCTAAATTGATCAATCTGATTGTCAAAATACATAAGTTAAAAAAATAGATCAGAAATAGGGAGAGAAACTGGTATTATACGTTAAAATCGGATTATCGCTTCAAAAGATTTTGTAAAAAATCAACGAACCTCAGTTCCTATTATTTTCTAGTGATGCTAAAAAGAGTCAGAAACATATCTTTGATGGCAAACTTGAGAGATAAAAGGCTTTTCCTATTCCCATAGACAACCATACAAATATAAACTTAGCTTAAATTAATTAAAATGGAACTTAAACTACTTTCAACATATTTAGATGTGATGTGACTTACATCTATTTAAATTTTCTTAAACTAATGCAAATTCGATTTAAATTTAAAATAAGTGTAAATTATTATGCAAAATAATTTTCAATTTATTTTAAACTTAATTCTTGAGGAATTTATTTTTGAGTTTAATAAATTTTAGTAAATGTAGATTCAATCATTCGTAGTCCTTGGTGTAAAACGATAGATTGAACGTCGTTTTTTTAATTACGAGCAGCATCACAATTCCACAAAAAAATATTATACCTCAGTCAATCATTTCTCTTATGTGCTTGTCTATATTCATTCACTTTTCAACAATTAGGACGATCTGGCTCAGTTCGACTCGGTTTGTTTTCAGTTTCTGGTTCGGATTTACATAGCAATAATAATTGTTTATTCAGTTATGTGCAGATATGGAAAAGTGATTTCGACTACCGCCTTCTGCGATTGAGATGATAGAAAGTTTGTATACTCGTCAATTTTAATACACATCCATGGCTTATTAAGAGAAATCAAATAAGGTGCTTTATGATACATAGTCATATACAAAGTTATGTTATGTGTTGAAAACAAATCTATAATTTGTTTTATTTAAATTAGCATTGATAAGAAATGAGAAGTATTATGAAATTGTTAATAACTAGTGTAACGAAACCATCATTTAATTAAGAAGAAGGTTAACATTGATCAGAAATGCTATATTTTGATAATGTCGATCTATGGCCACATAATACTAACGATAAGAAAGAGTTGTTCCAGTTTATGAGGAAATGAAAGGAAATTTAATAGAAAATACGACTAGTTGAACCACTTTTCGTTGGCATAAATGACAGAGAATTTCTTTTTCATCTAATGTTGGCTTTTAAAATAGTAGATTTTGTTTGTCAGGTAGTGGCTAATGATTTGAGTCTGTTTAAGCATAAGAAAATAATCATTTTTATTGAAAAGAATCGATAAGATCTCTGTTTGAGACATAACCAGTAATAAACCTTTTTTTGTATATTGTATATTGGTAAGTATTGATGGATATCCAAAGTTGAATTTGTATGAACTATGAAACAATACAGAACAGTCACATTCATTGTAGAATACTCTTTAAAAAATTGATGTGATAGAGAACCATGATGAAGAGAACTTTATCAAAAATATTCAATTTTAAAATATTGAATTATCTCATGACTAAATCATGGTAGGTTTCGAATAATGTTAAAAAGACACTTTACACAAATCTACTTCGATGATTTGGAAGAATTCTGGAGAAAAAAAATATATCAAGTGCTGAATCATTTTATATACATATATAAGATTTTAGTGTGGTTGGCTAAAACTTGGTCGTTTTTCTTCATTTATAAAGGATACATCAAATAACACTTTCTTAAGTAATTGATCTGTCTTTCATGGGGTTCATCTATTCGAGTACTTCCAGGAGAAGTTAACCACAAAAGACACGAATGTCTAGAAGAGTTTTTTTCATTTTTTCCATTTTTTAGAGCAAAATCGATTTTTGAAAATGCGGAAATAATTGATTCTCGGAGATCCGACATACTGTTAGCGTTACCTTGGTATACAGCTTCTGTGAGATTTCTCAATAAAAAGACGTTTACGGATGGTAGATCACGCAACATTGCAGACCAATCAATTAGATCTCAGCAACCAGTCCATCTTGCCAGAAAGTTTAGTTCATATGACTCTTGAATCAGAGATGTCCAT